ATATATATATATATATATATATATATATATATATATATATATATATATATATATATATATATATATATCATTTTGTACTAATTGGCATTTCGAAATGTGAAGTGTACACTTTTTCTGGTACAACTTTTCTAGAAGAGACTTCTGAATTCTGATGCTACTGGAATTATGTTATCCTTTCCAACTGGAATTTATTCTCTAATTAATTTGTTTTCCAATAACAAAAGCTGCTTGAAAAAGTAAAGTGGCATATCCTTCTTCCTAATTCTACAACCATACTTGAAGTTAGGAATGGCAATTGGGGATGTCGGAATTTTTTTATTTTTTTTCCAATTTTAAAGTTCTTTTTTGGTTTCTGGTGTCCTAATTTCTTTTCTTTTGCTAACAATTTTATTCCTTTTGCTTAAAACTAACAAAATAAATGTTTAACTAGCATTTGCTTAATAAATAAGAATTTTACTTTGCTCTCACAAATAAAAGATTAAATATGTAAAGAAAAATGGTACGAGTGATAAACTTTTTAGAAATAAATTAAAAAAATAAAATAAACCAATCAAGAAAGTTGAAAAATGTCAAAAAGTTAAAGAAAAAGACTCAATTGATATGACCAAAGAGAAGAAACTTTAGCAAAATGGATGGGGCAGGCATTAAGAGAAAGTATGAAGGGACAGGCTGAGGTAGGGTGAGCCATGTGAGTGAAGCATTTTGTCCTCCTTTTTCTTTTTCTTTTTTGGTCAAACTCATTTTGTATGCAAAACTAATATAATGTATCATATTTCAAAATAGCACCAAATACAGATCTCATATCATATCCTAAACTGAGGTCACGGATCTTGATAGGAAGGTGTGAAGGTCGCACTTTAGAGTTGTAGGTTAATAGGTGACTGAGGCTATATGTGTACGGTTAAAATCGGGCTTGCACGGTTTTGCTATTTAATCGAGACCAAGGGATCGTGCCGGGGGTCGGCCTAGTAATGGATCGGGCCAGAGTACAAAAACGAGGTGTCAAGTTCAAGAATCAAGGTGTCCGTTGAGATCTAGGCCAGCAGCGATCGAGATTAAGTATGACCGACTTCGAGTGAAGTGCAACAACGAAAATTCAAGATATCTGTAACTGGTCGGAGATCACGGTGGAAATTCCGGAACAGATCAAATCAAGGGCGCTTATTCGTACCAATCATGGGATTTACTTCCATAATAGAATTTTACCATAATTAGAATTCCTCTAGTATATAAAGGGGAATCTCCATCATTTGTAGACACCTTACATTATGCAGACAAAAGCAATACAATATTCTCTCTTTAATTTACGTTCCCTTGTTCACCAGTTCATCGCTTTTTAATTGTTCTTGCTTTACTAGCTCGAGGGTATTCCAACTCGAGGGCTCTGTCCAAACGCTGGCTTGCTTGACATTATTGTCAATTTCTACTGCTTATCTTCACGTTTCTCAATCGATATTAAGTGAAATCACGTATCCTTAAAACCACATTACAAGTTTAATTGTTACTCAATTTTTAGGGTAAACACTAGTTTGATAGGGTTGTGTCTTTGACTGCTAGTGGTAAATGTTGTGTTCATATTATTCTCTGTTTTTATTGTGTCGAGTTTTATTTAGTAGTTATTGTTATTGTTTTGCGTCTATTTTCTGGTTCTTATGTTGTTGTCATTATCTCTTGTTTTTTCTGTTGATTGTACTGATATAGTGTTTCTTTTCATCGTCTTGAGCTGACAGTTTTTCGAAAACAACCTCTCTATCCCCTCGGGTAGAGGTGAGGTCTGCATACACATTACCCTCCCCATATCCCACTCATTGGATTTTACTGGGTTGTTGTTGTTGTGCTTACTTTTACGCCCAACAAATACTGGATATTAAAAATAATTTATCAGATAAAGAAACATTCCATATACGTAATTTTCTTTTGCAGGACAATCCTTATTGATTCGGTTTAGGGGAAGTGCCACACCTTAAGGGATGTGATGCAAATAACCTACTATAATGCAAGCATTAGTAGTTGCATTCTGACTCGAACCCGTAACTTATAGGTCACGCGAAAATTACTTTGTTGTTGCTCCAAAGCTCCCGTTTCCTTCTTGATTCCGTAAAAAACAAGAAATCATTTCCCATCTAGATCTTACATAGAAATGACACGAGGTAGCCACTCTAAAGGGCTACTATTTAGGAATTAATCAGTGCGTCTTGAATTTTAGTTTCTCAGTTCAATATTTTAGGAAAAAAATGTTATGAATTGTCCTGAGGTTAAGATTTTTAGTTTAAAATTTCAGGACAAAATAAATACTAGCTAATCTCTAAATAGCATCCTTTAGAATGGTTATTTGTGCACTTAGCCTCTAGATTTTACTCATTCCATCGAGGATGAGTAATGAATTGGGCTTTTTCCAGGCTATGTGCTGGACATTATTGAAGATCGGATGGATAAATGTATTTTGGGCCCTTAGGCTTGGCCCATATTTGGCAGTCCATTGGATACTCTCATACTCGTCCAAATTCAACTCCAAACAAAGCTCTGTGAATGTCCCTCCCCACTGAGGAATTTAGTCCAAGTCCAAATTTTCGTAATGTTCATATCTTTACTTTTTAAAACAAAATATCATATCATCATAAAATCTACTTCACCATTCAGTTCAATTTTGACTCTCATCTTAATATGAGTACACAGTAAATCTAGGACACTGGATGGATTTCATTTTTATGATTCGAACCCGAGACCTCTGGTTAAGGATGAAGGAGTACTTACTTCCCAAACTATCTGGTTGGTCACTATATGGATTTAATGGTATAATAAAATATTCGTAAAGCAACTTATCATTGGTTTATCGGTCCAAAGTAGTATTCCAGAAGGTTTTTTAATAGGGAAAAGGGACAAATTTACACATATACTATTGTAAACAGTTTATATTTTCCTTCCCTTATATTTTTGGTCTAAATCTACCTCTTATGTTAGCAAAATAATAAAAAATATCCTATTTCTAGATCTTACCTTCTCTCAATTCGTATATAAATTTAAATATCTAAGTTGACCAAAAAAGTAAGGTTTTTTTTTCTAGTATGAGCAGCCAGATATTGCAAAACTATAATTACTTTGATCTTATATGTTGTTTGGCAATTAAATATTTTCCATTAGAGGCTAAGACCATCAGGAAAAGATTATCAAATGAATTGTTGGGAAATGCCCGTAAATAGTCTTATTACCGATTGTATTCACTAAAACAAGAGTCGCCTTCATCTAGATAAGTATTAA